AATTTCTTTTTTTATACTAAAAAAAGTATTAGAAAGAATCCTTTTTTTTTTAAGGAAAGAATTACGAAACTATTGATTAAAAACAGAAAAGTAAATATGTTATAAATAATTCATCAATATTTCAAAAATATAAATAAATATATTTTGTAATAATTATATAATTGGTATATGAATATCACCATATTAGCTATATATTTTTTTAATCTAAAATTAAAGATACAGATTATAGAATAGCTTAATTATAAAAATAATCTATAAAAATCTAAAATTATAATTAATTTAATTAATTTTTAAAATTAATTATAATTAATTTAAGAACAAAAAGTAAATGAGTTATATTGATACTTAAATATATTATAAAAACATCTGTTTCTCTTTCTTAGTTTACATCAGATACAAAAATAGAAAAATATTCATTATCTTTAAATAGAAAACTAGGTGAAAATGATTTTATGCGTGACAAACAATGTCAGTTCCTTGAAAAAGTAGAAGAACGTTTGTAAAGAAAAGAGTGGAGATCTATAGAGAATGGTTGGCGATAGCTTTGAAAATCATCATATCGTGTCAGTCCCTATATTGCGTTTGCTCTGTTCACTTCGTTCATATTCGTGCGAGTGATTCACTGTAATATATATCATTTATTTCTTTGTTTTTTATTTACTTTTATTTTTATTTATTAGTGAATAAAATTGAAAAAAATGAAGAATATATGTATTAAAATATCATTTTTGTTTTAACTTTTCCTTTGTTTTAACTTTACTTTATTAGAAAATTAAATATATTTTTTGTTTTTTAGTTACAAAGAATAAATTTCTCTTAATACATTTAAAATAAATTCTGACTTCTTTTGTCGCATTCTTCATATGATTTGTATAAAAGTAAAAGTGCGTAATTAATATCTTTAGTCATTTAATCGTGAAAATTAGTTTAATCATTAATTTAATTAATTTTTAAAAAAATATCATTGAAAGATGTACTATATATAATTTTATATATGATTTCAATAAAGAAAAATAAAATGAAAAAGAATGAAATAATAGCACGGTGATATAATTCTACTTCAATTTTACAATTACTATAATAATTATGTTTTTGTGGATATTAAACTATTTGAATTTATTAACGGTAAGCTATATAGTTTTATATTTAATTATAATAGGCCACATTAATATGTAATATATTAACATATTATTTTTAATATATTAACATATATGATAAGAAACATGTGAGATATTTTAGAAATCAATTGTAGATATTGAAAAAAAAAAAAA